TGCTTCCAGCTTTAAAACACACCTTGAAGGAAAGGAGAGTGTAAGAAACCAGCAGCTTGGGTGTGACCACTGTGCAAGGATGGTCTGTGGGGCACAGTGACACATTCTGCTGCTGTACCAGCACACAACTTAAAAAGCCTAATCTGAGTATTAATTACCAATCGCCTAACAGATTGCAAGCCTCTTCTGTTTTCAAACTGTTCATAAATTGATTCTAATTTCTTCTGTGGAACAATTAAAAGTGGTTTTGTTATCCTGATGAACTGAACTGCGACCAAAGCTATTGCAAATAAACACAAAAGACAGATGATAAAGCTGGTAATAAGCATATTGCTCCTGTGTCCTGAGCAGCCACCAACACTTCTCAGTGAATATCATCTTTCACAACAACAACAAAGGGTAAGAGCACACGGCTATTTCATGGAGTCATCAAAACAAAATGCACTGAATATTATATTTCATACTAAATACATTACCCTGGCAGTTTGACACTCAACATTTCAATAGATATTGCATCTCTCTAACATTCTGCCTGAATTTCTGCAGATGGACTTTTAAGTATCAATGGAAGATTACTTTACTTGTCACGCTAAAAAGATTTTAAAGAATGGTTGCACACACTTCATTTTTAATTTTTCCTATTTCTTTTTTTTTCTGAAAGGGAAACAGCTCATGAATTCAGAAACGTGATTCTACTGAAAGGTCAAACCCCTTGTTGTGTTGCAGCCCTTTGTGTGTGGTGCTCTTCCAGCAGATCAAATCTCTCGTCTGATGTGCCCAGCAAAGCACCAGGAGCATTTGCTCACGTTAAACTAAGCCTACCTAACCTGTGCTAGGCCAAGCTGAGATAAAGCAACAGTGTTCCCCAGTCTCACCAATCCTTTGTGACACTGCGGATTTTTTTTATATGTATTTTATTTTATTTTAAAATTGTGCAGGTTTCTGGGGACGTACATGCAAATACATGAGGATTTCAATTTTCAGCAAAAAACTCCAAACAAGTAAACACTAGGGTTAAAAACTCAGCTGGATGTCATGACTTCAGAAGACACCTTGAGCACACAGTATCTCTCAGGATCACCAAAAACCAAAACCGACAGCAATTTATCAGCCTAAGAAAAACATGGATTTCGACATTCAGTTCCAGAGCCCTGAAAATCAGACATCTGCCAAGACTGAGAGGGACACATATTTAGTGCATGACAGTCACTATGAAGTTTTGGGCACAAACCAGCCCCCTCACCTGCCAGTGCCTTTGCTCTGGATCACAGTGAGCCCTGACCAGCAGGATGGTCAGGGATCAGCAGGAATCTCCTCCTCGAACACTGGATCCATCACTGGCACCACTTTGGCCACTGTGAGCTGCCCCAGCCACTGCTGTCAGATCCAACAGCAATTAAGCATCCTTGTAAGCTGCTGCTATTGTAGAATTTTAAATTTTATTTTATTTTTTTCCAAATGAGGGAAGGGGAGGGGGTTTCTTCACTCAGAGCAAGTTTCATCACTCACATGGCAAATCTGCCAGTAGCAGATCATAGAATGGATTGTTACCTTTCCCTATCCATTTTGTAAAGATATTGCTTTCTTTCCAGACTGCAAGCATCACTTCTAACTGGATTTTGAATTATAATGTGAACTTTACAAAATTATTGGTGCTATTCATATCACTAGTTAGATTCTGCAGAACAGTGATATTTTTTGCCCTTCCCCAAACCAGCACCTCTTGGTGTTTTATATAAAACAACCACAGCCAGCAGAAATCAAACATTTCTAAGTAAAGTATTACATTGCAGGGAGTAAACAAGGAATAAAACATTTTTATACTTCTCCCTAAACTTATTTGTTTTTTGAAAGTATTTATGCAGCACAAAGACACGTGTTTAGTGAGAAATATGGCCAGTTCCTCTTCTTTAATTGAAACATTTATGCTTTTTGTTCCCCTAGCAAAAAGCAATGAACAGTAATAACGCAAGATAAATATACAAGAAACTTATAGATATGATTGTAAAACAACATCATCCTAATGTTTCCACTTAATTACCCTGAAATGTATTCTATTTAATATTCATTACTCAAAAGCCAATTTAAAAGAGAATGAGGTGAAGGGACTTATTCAGAAAGACGGACTGTCATTCACTGCAATAGTTATCTAATATACAGAAGTTAATAAAGCAGATTAATCTACAAGTCCCTTTAAGCCATCACTGAGTTTAGAACAACTGCCTCTTTGACCCCTAACCCTCCCGCTGCGCACCAGTAGCAGGTGCCAGCTGCACCGAAACGACGGCTGAGGCATTTTAAGGCAAAGTCTTTTCTTACTTCGCTTCTGACCAGCAGCTGACCCTGTAGAAGCGATTGTTTCATGTGCTGGCCTAAAGGCTACATAAACCAGCAAGGGATAAACAAAAGCATACACACACACACACCAGCTGCCTCGCCCGGGGCGCAGCCAGCGCCGACACCTCGCGCGGGGCCGAGAGCGCGGCCCCCCCTTTGTCTGGGCTCTGCACAACCCCCGGTGCTGTGAGGAACTAAAACTTCTCCCCAGCCCCAAGAACTGCCTGCGTGAACCGGAGAGCAGCTTTGGGTGATTAAGAGGGGGATTCCCAATTTGATTTAGCGCCCATTATTAAGAGCGTGAAATCTTCGGATACATCACTAATGATGATGTATTTTAACATTAAAAGTCTCGAAATTGAATTACTCGATTCACATGATAACAAATCACAGTGAGGCTTTAAACAAAGCAGAATTAGAAAAGACACTAAGCTCATTAATTTTTTTTTTGATTTCTTAATTGACAGCACACGTAGTGATAACTATACATTTAGCAATATACTTGAGACTGAGGCTGCTGCCACCTTTATCCACGAGCAGTAAGAAGCACATATAAAAGAGAAGTAACCATATTTTTCATTAAGATAACACAGCTTTGACATAGTTATTTTGCTGCTACAAATTACACAACCACAAAAACAATCAGAGTAATGATTAAATGCAGTTATGTACATGGGAGACTACTAGTGCAAATGTTAACATATTTAAATGGGTTCCCTTCATTAAAAAGATTATATATGATATTAAACCATCAATCAAATCGAAACACTAGAGTCTAAACGTATTGTCACTGGTTAAAATAAATGACTTTGAGACTGAATTTTGGCTCACTCAATATGGTGCCTTTTCTGTTGCTTAGCCACCCAAGTCTCTGCTGGCTTGGGCTACAGCTGGTATCTCTCCATCCCTTTCAATTAATAAAGAAAGTTATGGTAGTATTGCATAACATTTTTAAATTGGGCTAAGAGGCTGAAACAGATGTCCCAGGGAAAATCCCTCTCACTGCTGTATCAAACCTTTCAAGCCCTGAGCTGACAAAAGCTGAGCACTCTCATCCTGATTCAGCTGAGCCTTTAAACACATTTGATTTTAAGCATAGGAACAATCCCACCTGTGGGTTTGATCTGTTCTTCAAGTGAAGCATATGCTCACATATATGAGCCAAGGTGCTTAGGTACTCAGTATCTTGCACAAGTACCCTCTGTCAGTGCAATTCAGGTTTCTTTGTGATGTGCTTATATGCAAGTGCTGCTGCCTGGGCCATGAAACACATTATGAACACAGCCCTGCTGCAGGTTTTTATTTCCATTACTGTGCATAACTCCACACTAGCTGTATATGGTGCTGAGGTTTATCTCAAAACCAAAAATATCACTTATTTTACTATGTAAAAGGGGAAGAATGAAAGGTGCAATTTATAATACTTTTTTATTAGTAATGCCATCTGATTTTTTCATTGCAGTAGGCACCTTTACTTTCTGTTCTACACTCGCCAGGCAGTGCTGCCGTACTGCTTCACTTGATGCCTCCCATCACTGGGTGCAGTCCTTGGTCACCAGTGCTCTGCTCCACTGGGCAGCACGGCCAAGCTCCCCCCAGCGCTGTCACACCACACCCCCTCCTCTTCCCAGCACTTCCCACCCATCCTGGCTCCCTTTTCCACCACTGCTCATGCCCTCAACGTTCTTTGTTCACCCACACACCTTCTCACCTACCCACTGCAACGCTCCTTTCCCAGAGATCCCTCTCCAGCCCTCGTATTCCACCAGATTCTCCGACGGCACTGAATGCTGGCTCTTCCCACGTGCCTGCTGACAGTCCCCTCCTGCAGCACTCCCCAACCACTGCCCCCTGAAATGCTGAGCCCTTGAAGGGCTCTGCCCAGGCACAGCCTCATCCTACAGACACACAGCCCCACGACATTGTCCCCTGCTGTGGGCCCACCCGCACATCCCACCCCGACACGGAGCAGACCTGCCAGCAGCTGGCTGGACCACGGGCCAGGAGGTGTGTGCAGATCGAATCCAAACACTGCTGCTGTGCTCAAACTCACCACAACCCCACCTCACTCTCGTCCACATATTCCTTCTGAAAATGATGCAGAGTAATCATGGGGCACTGGCCTCCCTCACCTGACCCCATACCTTAACCCCTGGCCAAGAAATGCCCAGGAATGGAAGTGAACACTGGAATGCCACTGAAATCCCTTTTCTATTCAACCAACCAACCATTTATCCCCTCCACAGCCAGCAGAGAAGCATTTCAAAAATGGCTGTGCAAGCAAGAGTTCTTTACCTATCATGCCTAAATCTTAAAAACATTTGTTAAAACTACAGGTGAGAGATGCTGCAAAACTGATTGATTTTTGGAAAGAACTAACAGGAATAGTACTTTACTATACCAAAATTGAGCTAATGTGCACAGTTCTGCAAGATCAGCATTAACAGAAGATAAAGGCAGCATCTTAAGACCAAAAATTACAATTTCATTTATAAAGTGAAGCAGCAGATGCTTCACTCCTCAATCCCAGAATAACAGCAAAGTAGGAGCCTTTTAAATTTATTTATCGAAGTACTCAGAAGAGAACATAAGAGAAATAGCTGAATATAATAAAGTTAATACTCCGTTCTAGTCATATAAGTCAAATTACTTCACCCGTTAATTCGGTGTAGCTGTGAGACCCCCTCCCAAAGTGGCTGCAGATGGAGCTCAGGCTGCGTTACTCGCCCGGGGGGTACGAGCCCAGGGCACAGCCAAACCCGGGCCAAAGCCAACAACCACTGCTGAGCTTCAGAAGGATGCTCAGACTTGCTCCCGAACATTAAGGAGCCGTTTCGCTTCCACGTTCTCTTTGCTTCTCTCTTTGTGCGGTCACGGGGCAATCACCCAGCTCTGCTGCCCGAGGCTGGGGCAGGGCTGGGGCACGGACACACCGGAGCGCGGCTGCGGGGCGGGAGCGGGGCGGAGTGATGGTGATGATGATGGTGATGATGATGATGATGCCGCCCGGCCGGACCCGCGGCGCGGTGACGGCGGGCAGGCTCGGGAGCAGCGGGACGCCTCGGGAGAGCCACGGGAGAGCTCCCCGTGGGAGAGCCATGCTTCCCGTGGCTACACCAGAGCCGCCCCTGCCCGGCCCCGCCGCTGTCCCCGCCGGGAGCTCCCCCGGCCCGGGCCGCCCCCGCAGGGTCCGGGGGGAGCGCCCGCTGGGCAGGACCCGAGCGGGGACAGGTCATTATCCACCCACCTGAGACCTGACCAGCAACTCTGTGCGGCAGCAGCGCAGGTACAGACCTCCAAACCGGAGCGCACTTTGCCACCAGGGCCCGGTTTTTCATCGCTGTTAAGTGTCTGTGACCCAGTCCTTAACAGGGTTACGCATTACTGAGCCCAAACAGATGTCCTGAAAACTGAAACCGCTGGTTAGGAAGCAGCAATCTTGTTCATTAGCTTCCACGATAGTCAAATCATCTATAAACCCAGTGTTTAATGGCCAGCCGATGAATAATCAATGTCTCACTTTTCATCTGAGTGTGAAAGTGAGAATAATCTAATTCGCCGTCCCTCCGGTAGCGCGAGGCCCTGGGTTCCGTTTCTATTCAGGGCTGATTTATAACCCAATGGAAACCTGATGTAAACATATGATCAATGAGTCCCATCATTGCTGATAATAACCCCCAACCGGCACACTCCCTCATCTCCAAAGCCATCCCTTTAGGCTATTAGTTTCGTCCAGCTAATCCTCTCCACTATTCCTGCCTGCTGCTTTTACCTTGGCCATCCGTTCAGTCCGGCAGACTCAGAAGTAATTTTATACGCAGTAGAGAGCGGGTGGAATTGATTTTTCGCTCAGTGCTCAGTTCCCATCTGAATAATTATCAATTTTACTGCCTCATAAAGGGAAGAGTCAAAATTTCAAATCAATTCAAAAGAGCTTCTGAGACTACAGAAACTGTGCATGAGAATAAAGGTCAAAGTTGTCAGTGACCTCGGGAGATGATGTCAGATATTAGTACCCTGAGTAGTTGACATCAAAGGCACTCAATATGATATGACTAGTGCTAATGCAAATCATATTTATGCTGACTGCTGGAGACCGGCCATTAATATTTAAAAGAGTATGTGAAAGCCTGCATTCAAAATAAATATAACGTATTCTGCAGAATTTGAAGTTAATAAAGACAGATCACCGCCTAGTCATACGCTGTAAAGTGAAAGATTACTGCGTATTAACAGACAAAGTATTACATCAGGATTGCCACAAATGGAGGGCAGCCCAGAGCCCAGAGCTTGTGCCCTGCCCCTTCCCTTCAATCGTGGCACGTGGCAGAGCAGGGAGCAACCCGACAGACCCCAGCGCTCACTGCTGCTGCCATGAAACCCCTGCTGGCCATGTAGAACATAAGAACCTGTAACATGACATGGGAATCATCCTACTCTGATAACGACTCCAATAACAAACATCGCTAATATTCTCACAATATAGTGCCAGGAACTGATTTTTTGCCAAGCTTTTTGCAAGTGACACCTACCTCTTAGGGAAACACGAAGATGACCACACCAGTCATCTGCATGTCCTTAATAACTTCCGTTTCCATTAAAAGCCTCCTGGCCTGTGAAAAACACCTCCTTAAAGAGCAACTGCATTAGGAATGCAGAGATTCTTGTAAATACACGTTTTCAAATAGTTTAATGAGATTTTAAGGGCACAGAGCAAATGTGGGGATCTGTAGCTACGAACATCCTGATCCCTCTCTAATGTACTAGGGCTGGGAAAAACTGGGAAGGAGCAGTCTCTCCTAAACAGTACAGTGGCCACTTCCTTTTCAGATGCATGAGATTTAATTTCTGTTGTTAAAAAAAAAAAAAAATCCCAGAGTCACCTACTGCAAAATAAAATATTCAAACTTGACAGCACACATTCAATTTACACATTTCATTACCAAAATGTGGTTCAACGCCAGAATTTGTTCTTCATCCTCCCAAAATACTTGAGAGACTTTCCTTCCCAGTTGTCTATAGAAACGTACTGATGATCTCACACACGTCTTTTATGAGGCAAAACGAAACAACTTGTAAGATACTGTACAGCCAAGTACAGATCCTACACTGTTCAGCACGATAAAAAACACCCCCAGCCTTTGGTTGTCATGAGAACATGGCTGAAGCTACTCAGGGTTGCCTACCAGCACAGGGAGGTTTGTTCTGTCCTGAAATAGCCAATGCTACCTTGGTGTTCAGTACCACAGAAAAAATCAGGAGAATTCAGAAATGTAATAATACATATGTATTATATGAAACATATAATACACGTGTACATATGAGAGTCTTCTTGTCTCCTTTAGCAAGGTTCCTGAAGAGGTAGGGGACAATGTAGTCTAAACCAGCACAACAGCTGGAGGAGACAATCACATCTGTGCAAAAAAATGAAAATGAAGTTTTGAAATTGTTTCTATTAAAGAATAACTAATAATGACATTGTAAGGTACTTGGAGAGCTCAGCATTTACACTCTTTGGCTAACTGATAAATCTACAAGTCCAGTTTTGACACACAGGCTGACTAGCTTTGAGGACTGCTTTTACTAAGGAACAGTGGTATTAAACTTTGCTGTTGGGGGATTGGTAATTCCAGAAGCTAAAGATTCTTTAACTCCAGTGACTGTCTTTTACAGATGTAAATAGAGTGATCCCTCTGCGTACTGGGAAGTGCAGGATGAGGGCTAACATTTTATTAATAATCAGCTTCGCATTCAAAAGACTACAGATTCCTGGAAACTAAAATTCTGGTTGGATCTGCCTACTGAGAAGACAAGGTTAAACCAAGCAGAGAGCTGCTGTCCAGGCTTTTCTCAAATAGTGTGCCACTGTGCTTCTCTGCCCCAAGGAGTTTACAATCCATGCCCGGTGTCAAACACTGAACAAGGGCCATTAAGGGCAGTAAAAAGCTCATCACAAAACAGCCAGTTAGTAATTTTACTTAACAACTGTAATTCAAGTGGGTTAAAGTACATTAAATGCAGTTTAAGTACATTAAAAACAGTGTCCTGGCCCACGGTTCTGATGCAGGCTCCTCTTGAACTTCCTCTGGTAAACAGCAGCTGAACTGCTGGGTGCGAGGTTCAGCCCTCTCTGATATTCTCTGCAATTCCAAACATCAGATCCAAACGAGTGGAGCGTTGAGGACTCCATCCTGTTGCCACTGGCTGCAGCAAGAACTTGTCTAGGCCTTTTATAGTTCACAGTATTTATTTTAGATGGGCCACTGGAGTAAGGGATGTGGGGGTTGCAAAAGGAATTAAACTGTTAAAATGCTCATTCTAAGGGAAAAGGGATTAGAAGGATCCAATTAAATGTACCTTGAATTCTTTAAACTGTGCTAATTTGGAGGCCTGCCAGCCTTGCAGTGTTCATTTAAACACATCCCTCTAGACCCTGAAGTATTTTGATCTGTGTCTGTTTAACTCCTTAAGCTCTGTGCTGACACTGTTAACCCTTCACCACTGAAATCCTGACTGCATCTTGCTAAGGGGGTTTTGGAGGAAACACTCAAGGGACATTTACAGGCAGAGAAGATACAAGTCCTAAGGCTGATTCAGCAGCCAGAGCTGGGAGTGACCTAACAGCTCACAGAAATGAGCTGGAGCATCTCACCTCTGTCTCCACGGGACTGCTGAGCTTCCGAGGGCTGAACCCAACAGGGCAGGAGGGCAAGACATGCTGGAGCAAAGCTGAGCTCAAAGCTGTCAGTCTTGCCAAAGCAAAGGCAGCACTACCGTGTTCTTAACCAAAATAGTCCTGCTTATAAACTAGAAATGCAATTCATGGTGGAATTGAATCACCATCAATAACAACAAGAGAGAGATTTGAAAATACATATTTCATAGGAGGGCTCTGCTGTATTTCCTAACCAGTGCTTAACTCTATTTCTTTTTAAATTGAATAATACAAAGTAAATCACTATCATCAGTTTACAAAACAGCAGTAGTTCTAAACATGCTGATACTGTACAAGTAGGTATTTTACATTCGACAGTAAGTGATTTTAGCAGGACAGCAGACAGGTCCACACTATCATTTGCTCATGAGAATCTGATATGAGTGTTAAGAGCTACTTAAATTTGCCCATAACTATATATCAAATATGCTTCCCTATGCTCATTTTTCCTTTTGATTGCAGACAGGGAGTGTCAAGCAAACTCCCTTGAATGACTCTTCTGGGCATGTGGAACCCTGTGCTGGGCAGGATAGTGTTCTCACTAAATCTTAGTGAGACAAGCCAACCAAATAAATAGAACAAACAGGAGCAATGAGGAGCTACCAGTTCGAGGCTATGGACAGATAAATGGGTGAGAAGACAGGATAAAGATAGAATTATAAAAGAAACTGAGATAAAAGCTTGGGATAATCAGGAAAAATGCAGTCAAACCGTGTTTCTCACTTCTGGTCGACTCAGCTCCATCACCTGTGAACTAATAATTTACGAAAACACCACAGCCAGCTCTGTGTGTACCAGCATGGGCCCAGCAACAGTTCAGCAGCTTTGGCAAGCAAAACTGAGCTCTCTGGATCTCCCTGATGGGAAGGTGGGGGCTGGTGAGGGGCAGAGGACATGGATGATGGCTCTGGCACCAGTCTTGGGGTTTCTCCTTTGCCAGTGTGCACTCATTTCATGTTTGGGGACTAACCCTACATGCACTTCTTTGTTATCTGTGTGGTTTTGCCTGATGAATGCAATTCCAATCAGCTCAAGCAGCTGCAAGTTGAACATGTATGTTAGAGTGGGTCAGGTTATTTTAGAAAAGCCAACAAAAGCCCCAGACTGGAGGATGACTTTTGGTCTCAGCAATATGACAACAGCAAGCTGAAGGGGAATTGCTTTTCAACAGTTCAACAGCATTGCTGAATCTGTGCAAATTAAAAGATTTTGTTTTGTTTTTCAGATAAAGGCAAGGAGAAGGAGTTAAATGGTATTTTCCGTGCCCTTCAACTGCTTATAGTTCAATACTGGCATTCTTTGCCTTTGAGACTAAACCTGGAAAGTAAATGGATTTAGCAATTTAACATCTAAATTAGGCAGCAAGACAGAAAAAAAATGTTTTACTTTTTCCTCAATGAATAGCACACTATACTATTAATCATATGAGAATTAGAAAAGCTTTGCTGAGATTAGTGACAACATGCCAGGCAGATTGCCTTAAAAGGCTCTAATCCACTGAGTCAGCTGTGAAAAAGCCAGGTAAACACTTTGGAAGGGAACTATTGGAGTGTTTATCCTCCCAGTAAAAGCTCGGGTGAGGGCTTCCATTACAGCTGATTTACAGCAAGGTGCCTCAGAAGGAATACATATTCCTTCACAGTGCTTATAAAGTGGGGAATCAGGCAAGGTATTTACTCAGCAGCAGAATGAACACTCCTCAGAAAAAAAGGATTTGGGGACTGTTTGGCCTACAGCTGACAACAATGAGTCTCAAAGGTTTCACATACGTAGAGAGAACAGAGAAAAAAAAACGTCATATACTGTTTTCTGTGAAAGAGAAGTGATCTCCTGGTATTTAATTTTTAAAATAAAAAGACAGCTATTTAATTTTTATAAACATTTCTAAAAATGACTTCTATGTTCTAATCAGTTTAAAACACAATTTCCCCTCAGATGGCTTATAGCCCTGAGCCCTACTATTCTGAGATGTTCTTGTGGCACTGATACAATTCAGTGAAAAAGGCAGTGCTTGGATCTACTTACCCATTTTCCAAAGGCAGAAGGATGTATGTGACCAAATAATACACAGGAAATAAATTTATATTTCACTGTCTGACAATGGGTAATGTCAAAAAGACCGACATTTTAAAAGGTATAAAAGGTAGGTAACTAACTCTTGAGATGATTTAAAACAGGTAAAGTAAGAGCCAAAGAGTAATTCTTCTGGATATGTCATTATAGGAGTATGGAAAATAAAGTTTCTTTAATGTAAATGAGGAACTTAATGGAAGGCTTGAATATCAGTTCTTGATACACGCAGTATTAAGAAACATGATATAAAGGAAAAATAATCACTTTATCACTCCTAGATGGAAAGGGGAAAAAAAGCAGCATTTGTCAGCTGATTGATCATGGGAAGTTAAGTAGAATCATAGATTGTTAAGGGTTGGAAGGAACCCTAAAGACCATCCAGTCCCAAACCCAGGGACACCTCTCACTGGCCCAGGTTGCCCAAGGCCTCACCCAACCTGGCCCTGAACACTGCCAGGGTTGGGGCACCCACAGCCTCCCCACCCTCACAGTAAAGAATTTCTGCCTAATATCTAATCTAAATTCCCCCTCTTCCAGTTTGTACACATTTCCCCTTGTCCTGTCCCTACAGTTCCTGACAAAGTGTCCCTCTCCTGCTTTCCTGGAGCCCCTTCAGACACTGGAAGGTGCTGTGAGGTCCCCACACAACCTTCTCTTCTCCAGGCTGAACAGCCCCAACTTTCTCAGCCTGTCTTTGTAGGGGAGGTGCTCCAGTCTCCTTATCGGCCTTGTGGCCTCCTCTGGCCTTGCTCCAACAGTTCCATGGTCCTTTTGTGTTGGGAACACCAGAAGTGTGCACAGCACTCCAGGTGAGGTCTCGGGAGAGCAGGATGGAGGGGGAGCATCCCCTCCTTCGACCTGCTGGCCACGCTCCTTTGGATGCAGCCCAGGATCCTGTTGCCTTTCTGGGCTACCAGTGCTCACTGCCAGCTCATGCTGAGCTTTTCTTCAACCATCAGGTACTACTCTGAGTGTGTGAGAGACCTTCCCAATGATGAGGGGCTGCATAGGCAGTTTGGACAGAAGCAATACAAGTGAAAAATACCCGTAGGATCCTAAAGGTGGAGGCAGAAACCAAACGGGACTATCCTCCATTCAACCTCCTGTCAAAAACAGGATCTGCACCAGACAGGTTCCTCAGGACCTTGTCAAGTGTTTAGAAATATCTCCAAGGATGACATTCCACCCTCTGTTTATTTGTATTTATTTTAGGTGCATTAAGGACATGGAGATGAACTGAAGAAGAGCATTGGCTAAACAAATCTATGGCTTATGAAATACGAAATAAAGTAAGCTGTTAACATTTTTGTTGATACTTTTCTCAGCAGAATATTAGGAATTCTACAGAACACAAGTTATCGAAGACATTCCTAAAAAATTTAGTAATTCTCTATGATTAAACTCCCAGATACCTAAACCACAAAAGTTTGAAGCTAAAGCTGGAAAGACACACTTTTCATACTCCTCCTACCTTTTTGAGAGGGGAGAATAAACAGAACACTTGAAAGCTAAAACTTATTGAGCTTTTACATTTTCTTCTCTCTCTTTTACATTAGTTCAGTTTGAGTTTCATAGAGATGGGTAAATTAAACTTGGTATGCTAGTGAATTATAAAAACGAACATAACCAGTCTCACAAATGGAAGAGATGTGAAGGATAACAGAGCTCAGGATCAGCTGAAGTGGCAGCTGTTGGCTAAGACAAGGTTCAGTGCAACACATCCACCTGCAGCCCAGCAACAGGCAGGCCCCAACAGGACCAGCCCACAGGCAATGGCCTGAATACTCGTTCAGCACTGCCCATCTCCTCTCAGGGGGCTCCCACAAACTGCTGAATGTGTTGGCACAGGAGTGCTCTGTGAGCCTCGGTGCCCTCCTGCACTCCTGGGGGGCCTGACTGGCACTGGGCAGTGATGAGCAACACCAGTCATTACACAAGAACATCTACACACACTAATGCTCTACATTCCTATTTTTCTCCCACTAATAATGGCCTTATCAATAAACACAACTCAAAGTTTTGAACAGCTTCCCAGTCAATGTATTGGAATATCAATATATCAATGCATGGCATTCCGGGGTCACCAGAATGATTTATTTTTATTTCCCACAAATGCTGTTTCCTTCTCCATGTTCCAAATTACTTTAGACTGTCACCTCCCTGCCCAAAGCCCGAATGTGTGGACAGTCATCTGGTTCAAAGGCATAAATTAAACAGTGTAAGTGAATGAAATGACTTGCAATCAGACCTGCTGTATTTGTATCAAACTCCAAGTATCCTTCCCTGGCTCTGATTCTCCTCTAAAGCATATTCAGGAAGTACTGAGTAACAAGTTTCTTTTTTCCACAGGCAGATACCTTTACATTCCTCAAATCACATCACAGCTGTGCAGAACAAGTGTTATTTATACAACAGCCATGCCGATCAAATAAAAACAAAACCCCACAGATACTTGTACACACATGAATATTTTACTTCTGAATAACAAATGCATGAATTTTCAGTACAATTCTAGTGGAGGCACATTATTAGCAATTCAGGCTTGTAAGAAAAGAATATTTAAAAACATTATCTGTAAAAATCTACAGGTTTAAAACAGGTTTGGTTCCAGTAACCAAAATAGTCACGTCCTTTAAATGTTCAAAAGCCAACATCTTCCACTGTCCCTTGATATTAATTTTTTTAAGATACAAATGAATGTGCTGCTTTGAAAATCTGAGATATCTAAATACATTCCTTTAACCAAGTCCAAGTAATTCTTACCTACTGCAGTGAGTCCTCCAGATATCGAGGTCAGAATAAGATGTGAGGTTCTAAACTGGTAATGCAACTCATCTGATCTTGGGTCAGACACTCCAAAAGTGGGTAATAAGACTGGCTTAGTTCTTGATATTGCTGAAAAAAACAGTACACATTCATAGAAAATATAGATATTACCACTGACTAATGTTAACAACATTACAGATGACAGAAGAATGATCTTAGAGATTTTATGATATGATAAAATTAGTCAATGAATCAGAATATCTACAGAGCTAAAATATTCTTCTGTCTTCAGCAGATTTCAGCTTTTCAAATTTACCACTGGATGTAACTTGCTGTTGGTCTAAAAGACACTCAGGATAGTCCGAAAATGCTACAGGGCTTCACCATTCAACATGTCAGTCTGGGAGGAGCAGGAGAGTGTTCTGCCCAGGACTCCAGGCATATCTGACCCTCTGCAGGAAATCTCACTAAGATTTATCATGGATTTCCCCAAACCATCTCAAACACAGACTTTTTTTTGCTGCTTCTGTGAGCTCCTGTAACAGCACAGGCAAAGGCACCTGCTCAAACACATCAGTACAATCTAACCAGGGTCTTCCTCTTAAGGACTCTGGCTTAGGGAGTTAAGTGTTGGATAGCTGGGAATGTGCAATTAGGTCAATACAATAACTTTAATTCAGAGCAACTTTTCATTTCCACGGGCTTTCTTTATGTGGCAAAAATAAATCTGGGTATTAACAATTGTTAACTGTCCCAGGTTTGTGCCTTCCTGCAAGGCACTGACAGCTCTGAACTGAAGTATCCTGAAGAAGAAGGCCCAGTTCAAATTCAGGCTGATAATAATCAAGACCTGTTGTCTTCCCACGAAGAAGTGGGAATATGGTGTACTTTAATTTTAAACTTTTCCATTTTATGGGGAGTACACAGTGACGATGTGCAGATTGAAACTAATTGCAGAGTAGCTGGATAAATGAGGAGGCTTTACAGTGCACGCAGACAATGAAACGGGTTTGCAAGTACAGAAAGGAAAATAAAATTGCATTTCTCTCTTTTACAAGCCTAGTGGGAGTTCTGGAAAAGCTCCCATTTCACAAGGCGCTTCAGTTATACCTGTGTTTCAGATGTCACTGTATAAATAAATTCAAGTAATTGAACTGAAAACTCTGTTTGAGCCGCTCTGGATCCCTCTGTCTCATTATACCAATACAAAGCCTGTGGTGGTGTTACTTCACGTTTCACATAAAGACTCCCAAGATGAGTAATTGCTTGCTAGCAGGTCACTGTGGGATACTGAAAGCAGCATTTTGACAAAGGCCTGAAGTACATTGTCAAAGTGGTTGTCCCCGTACAACTTGAAGATGCCGCAGCTGACATAATTTCCACACAAGGTAGACTTCAGTGCAGAGCAACAGATGGAAATGCTCTTGAGTTTCAACGGATAAACCTGATCTTTTGACAAAGTCCCAAGAGAGAGGATCTGATTAGCTGTTTTCATAAAAAGAAAGAAGGAAAGAAACTTAAATAAGCAGCTGCAAATCTAAAATATTTTGACGGCACTATCTAAATTTGTTTTTGTCTTTATTTTCATTACTATTTGCAAGAAAAATTGTTTCTGCATTTGATGTAAAAGATCAGTTAAGTAAGTATGACTAGAGCTTAAAAGCCACTAAGTAATTAGTATGCAAAATTTAAAATACAAGCTCTGGAATTCCCATTATTGATGCACAGCCAGACCATGACTGGGTCTATGAGCATGAATTCCTTAATCTGAACAGAGTTGCAACACATGGTTTTGTAGATTCTCAAGCTTCAGCAAAGCCTGGTTTTGATCCATTACCATAATGCTCCCTTGGGATGCTTGCTGATGTATACACACAATAAATATATTCCTCAGAAAACAAATATGGCCATTACAAAAGCCTCCATTTTACCAGTCACAGATGGGAACAACTTTTTAATTCAACTTCATGTTTATCATGTAAAAATAACAGCTACTGGTAAATATTTGTTGTTGCTGTGGCTTTGGACCCACCGTGCAGCAGCTCCCACTGCAACCCCCTGTACAAATCTCCACGTTCACAAGGTCTCATTACCAAGTTTTCCAAGTATCTTTGTCACAATTTAATGCTCATCTTCACAGCACCCCAGAGTGCCTTTTGTCTTCATGACAGTTTTTTTTTTTGGAACCTGAAGCAGTTATTGAAAGGGAGCAAAACAAGTGGCACGAGCACAGCAAAGCCGAAGCGCCTGTCCTGCCACGAAGCAGCCTGACCAGGCTGACCCCACGTCATGCTGACCTTGCCAGGTCTTTGCTTTGTTACCACTTATCATTCTTGGTAATTTTAACCAGTGGAAAATAACACTTTAAAAAAAAAAAAAACTTCCTATAAGCAGCAGCCCAACAAATGAGATGCTTGGCTTGTCTGCTCTTGGTGTTGAACCGCCTTGTCCTGGCTCTGATCTCAACCTGGATCAAGGAGAAGGGAGAAAAGTGGGCATTACCTGTTCACAATCCAAATATTGCCAGCTGGGAAGGGGAGTTATGATGGTGCAGTTTTGATTTGAGGCAATTGAAAAAATGCCCTACAACCTTGCCTGGGATGACACAGATTAGTATAATTTAGTACATATTGAAGACTAATATTAAATTGGGTCAGTCTCTACTCAGCTCTCCTTCCTACCTATGTAAATTTCCACTTGCACATCATCCACCTTTTCTTTAATTCTATTGATTACCAGTAATGATGAATTTACATCACATAATTAGAAAAATGAGGGAGGGAAAAAATCTTGTTTCTAAACATCCAATGCATCAAAGTACCATCCGTTTGTTGCCATTTGGTGCAAGGATGGAAAGACATAGGTTACTGTTTAAAACATTCACGTTTTTCACCACTTCTAGCAAGTGCAAGGTAATTTATCTATAAGATTGTAAAGGAAAAGTAAATTAACAAAAAAAGACTGGGAGTGTGATCAAGAATTGCATACAGGAAGAAACCAGGGTCTGTAAGAAGCCAGAATGGTGAATTAGAATTGTGAAAGGGAAAAGAAAAGCAAATATTTAGCTAGGAAAGGTGGTCACTTAAAATCAAAATCAAGCTTTCTTAATAAAACAACAAAAAATTTATTAATGAGAGTACAGAGTGGTTTTGACATTTGTAAATGCTCATGTGAGCACCCCTCTTACCCAAATGCTGCATTCTCAAAGACAGTGTAACTGGGGAAGAGGTACCATTCCAGTGACTGCTGCTGCACAGTAATCAGCTCCAAATGGTGTTAAATCTCTATTATACTAAACAGGACTGGTATCTAAAACCTCTTTTAAACGTAAAACATAGCAGAAAAATAAGAAAGTCTTTTAGTGTTCCTGGATATTAATTTAATACTTTACATTACTGAGGAATTACACTTACAAAAAATTAAAGTCCATTTAGCTTCGTACAGTGCACTATTTCAGTATATCCTGGACAGATCATCTGAATCAGCATTAACCTTTTTGTCCTGGTTATTGAGAAAAATGAGTGAAGTCCAAATTCTGCGAAAAACAACAAAATGAAATACAAAATTCTGTGTGTGAGATCAAGTGGGAAGGCACACACTGTTTTTGGAAACCACTGTTGAATGGTACAATTCTCAGGGCACAAACGGGACAGAAAGGTAAGAGTGCTGTAAACTAACCTGAGCTGGTCTTCACTGTTAAATTCACTGCTGCAAATCTCGACTTCACCAACACAAACACATACCTGGCTTCAGAAATGAGCAAAGTTCTGGATCCAAGAGAGGAACAGCCTTGGGTTTGTAGCCGAGCTGTCCAAGCATGACATCCTACAGTCCTAGGTCATTCAAGTACCTGGTGGAATAAGCAACAATAGATGGCAATAGCTTAACAGTGTGTCAAGAAGGCAATTATGTACTTAAAATGGAAATTAAATGGAATTCAATGTGAAAAATGGATGATGAGAAAAGAAGCTGGAAAAACCTGAAGAGTCCCTCAGCCTGGGAACATGAATTCTAGCAGGTCTCCACTAGTGCTCATGTTCTGTCATTTTTATTACTTCACCAAAACCTCACCCACTGATGAGGACAAAGGACTGTCCCTCCTCAGTGAAACACTGAGCAGAATTTGGGTCTAGTGTGACATTAAAAGCTGCTTTTTGCGAGCGGACAGAACACACAGAGAACTGTTCTGTGTTCATGGACTCATTTTAAAAGGGCCTGAGAGTGGGAACTGCTGATTTCAAAGGAGCAGCAGAGGTGGAAGACTGGGCAGTGCCAGGTCCCAGAGTGGTGCAGAGGGTGCAGGGCTCCAACACAGCAGTGGTTTAGCATCAGTTATTGAAAAAAAATATGAAGTGCCATGCCTGACTAGATAAAAAAAGAATGATCTACTTGCAACATTTAGCAGGAGCTTCAGGGGAATATTTTTACACACTATGGATACCACTGAACATAAACTAATTTACTGAGGTACTTGGAATCAGGTCAAGAACAACTCCTCAGCTACTGAGGATATGCTTACATTTATAATCCCTGTAGTGGAAGACCAAAATACAATTTTATAAATTGTATCCTATTGTTAAAAGAAACAATTTAAAGAAATTAAATCAACATAAAAGCGACATTTGACATGTTGGATTTAAAAATTGTGTTTGAAATTCATAGCTCCTGTCAAAACAAAAACTCTGTAGAGACTAATCAGTGAAGTCCCAGTGTTTCTACTGAGTGAAAAATTGAATGAAAAAATCCAACTTGCACCAATTTCTTCCTAATGTGGGAGAAATTGCATCACACAATCTTAAAATATACCGACTTTCAAAATTCTCGATAATTTCCTTTAATCCAACTTTTTGCCCTGCATTTGCCAGCAATGGCTCAAAAATTGTGCACTCTGAGCCTCAGAGGTGACACAAAATTCTGACAGGAATAAGAAAAGGGTTTTTAAAGATCTTGCTGAAACTGCTGGAGAGGAAATAGAGCCTTTGAATTTGGCTGCAAATTTTAATGAGTTAATTACTGAAAGACTCCTTAGTGCAACCAAAGGAGCTGGAAAAAACAAGTGTGTGTGTGTGTGTGTGCATGTGTGTGTGTGTGTGCAGAGGGAAGTACTGAGCCAGCCAACACCAGGCTGGGCTGCTCTGCCTGCATGGAACACCCCCAGGGCTCAGCACCCCCAGGGCTCAGCATCCCCAGGGCTCAGCACCCCCAGGGCCCTCCCAGCTCCTCCTCTCACCCCCTCCCCCAGCCACGGGAGCACGTCAGGACACGCAGCTTTCCTTTCAGCTCTCCTCCTTAATTGCTTTTACAGGAGAAGCTATAATCCAAAATGATTTCCTTATGGCTGAGTTTCATTTCAGCGGGGCTCGTTCTAGACTCCAGCCCAATAAGCGCTTTGGATAATAATACAACTAAATCATATTTTAACATGTGTGAATTAGATGAAGATATGAAAAGGCTTTGGTGAGATTAAACAAAGGGTTGTGAAAATGTATCACGTTTATAGAGAAAAGTGGGTTTTGCCTTTTCCCCTTTCCTATTTTTATTGTTCACCACTGCCCATAAAGATGGTTGAAGGCACACCTTCTGGGCGTTTGGAATGCTGGGCAGTGCAAAGAAGGGGCCAGACAAAAACCAGGAAAATGTGAATCATAAAGATGAGAGCTTCAAGAAATGATTTTTTTTTTAAAGCTTCCACTACAGCAAAATGTGCATAAAACCTCTCAAATCGGCCCAATGAGCCTGCCCAAGGTATATTTGTCAGAAGAAACTGATTCCAAAACATGAGTCCGTAATGAAGTGCAATATATTCTGGAACCAGTGTCACAGGAGAGAGGAGGGCAGACCAATACAGCTGAGCCAAGCTCAGCTGCTGCTGAGAAATACCTGTTAGACAGCAAGAATCAGTTTAACCAAAATTCTGAAGAAGACCCGTTATCTTATGAAGTTGGCACTGAATGGATTACCACACTAAGTTTTGAAATACATGTTCTGGAAGCAATTTAAAGCTCATTAGAAATAATTGTGTCTGGCTACTGGAAAATGTGGTAAAATTTAATCCACATCCAAATGCTACCTGGGCTGTGAGCACAGGAAATTGTTTTGTGCTACTGTGGCTAACCTCATCACTGACCCTGAGCAGTAACTGCTACAGCAGCTGAAAGCTGAAGCAAAATTAAAAACTTACATCAAAGTATATCATGACAGAATGTAGATAAATAAAAACAGCATATTGAAAATATTATTTTTATGTCAGCCTCTTCTAATGAAAGGGAAGAGGTTTACTAAAATGTAAAGAAACCACAAAACAAAAATGGATGGTTCCAAGATGCACTGAAACATCATTCCTATACCACTGGGAGTTCAAAAACATACAGGAAGGAGACCTGTACATGCAGAATTAAAAGTGAAATATACTGGGGATGAAGAATAGGGAACTACACTATTCCAAGTCCTTTCAATTCTCTCCTCTCAGATGTTTAATTTAGATC